TTGATTAAAGTTTGATAATAATCACTGTTGGATGCAGGCTCGTTGGTTTAGCGGTTGGTACCAAAGCCCTAGGTTTGATTCCCTCGAGCGGAGCTTGTGAATGCACGGCTGATGAAGAGTTCTATACTGAGAGAGAACAGGAAACAGTGGTCAAGTGATTCTAGATTTCTAATGTTGATCTTACAATGATCGTTTGATTATCGTGATTTCAATGAACACCTATGAACTGTATCAATAAATCACAAATAGAAAAAACCGTGTATAAATTTTATTTTTCTCACACTGAAATCATCAATCGACCATTGTTAGACCAGCATTAAAAACCTGGAAACACTGGATGGCCGTTTGAGACTAATCAGCAATGAGCATCCACGACGCGTACACCTCGCGAGATTTGAAGCTAGGACCTTCGGTCTTGCGCGTAAACGCCTAATCTCTAGACCATTGTGCCGGTATCTAAAGGTGTTAATGTCTAACTTCGATTAATTCACTGTTTCACGCAACCTCATACACTGTCTTCGTTAGTTACTGTCTACCCCTCGAACGGGTTGAACTTCACTGGTCACCACTTCTCACTAGAACTCGGAGAAGATTACTCATGGAGCTAGTCACTAGTGAGCATAACAGGGTTGTGAAGATTGTTAAGTTACACATTTTAGAAATCATGAATCGATCAATGTTACACTACCATTAGAAGAAAACTGGAACCACTGACAGACGGTCGTTTCATCATGGTATGAGACTCATCGGTGGAAGTGCGCATCCACGACTACTTCACCTTGTGCGCGAACGCCCAGCCTCTGGATCACTGAACCGTACCAAGACAAAATGACCGTCTACTGCTTTCAGGTTTCTAATAGTGGTTTAACAATGATTTCAGTGTGTAAAAACATACTTATCTCCATCAATCTCATTGAAAAAATTTTATTTTACGTCGTCGTTGTAAATTTAACAAAAAAACAACACAGAAATCCTATTCAAACATGAATATTCACTTAAAGTCTTACTTTTACATTCATCAAACAATTACATGATACACTATGCTTTTTAGTTGTTGTTGTTAAAAATTGTTAAATAATTATTATCATCTCTTTGCTTCTGCAAATTTATATTTCAACAAATACTCTCTCCCCATCTCTCTCTCATACATTCACACACATGCACCTAAAAGTAAAACATTTTGCCCTGCTTTCATTCTCCTCCTCTTCCATATGGCTTACATTCTCACGGAGTTGTTTAACATGAAACAATTTGTCAAAACAAAACTTATTCTATCAGTAATATCATTCCGGGTCCTATTAATGTGATAATCAACTTCAAATGCTTTCAAATTCTCTTGTCTCTCTCTCTACGGATTTTTTTATTTCAAATTGTTATTTTCAAAAAATGAGACGCATCAATCTAGTGAAAAAAAAAATAGACGATTAAAACAAACAAGTGTTTTGAAATAAGTTAGTTAAGTTTTTAGAAAATAGAATTCACTGTGAATTAATTGAAGATTTATAAAAATTAAAATTTCGAAAAATCTTCCACAATTGACAAAAATGGATTTTGACGTGAACAAAAACAAAACATCTGTTTTTGTTTAAGTGTACAAATGGATTTATTATTATTCATGTAGTTTTTTTAAAAACGAACGCTACTTTCAATGTTCAATGTTGTGTGCATGTGTGTGTTATTTTTTGTGTTTAATTGTAGAGAGAGAAAGAAGGAAAATTAATTTCAATATATCTCTCATTGAATGAAACATTGAACATGTTCATGAGAAATTAAAAGTAGACAGTCTAAAAAACTTTTTCTACTTTTATTTTTCAAAGAATAAAATACATTTTCGTATGTTTCATTTACTTTATATGTCAATAAAAAAGTAGGAATGACTTCATAGTATGAAAAGGAATGAAATGAAATGAAAGACACAAAAGTACACGTAAAAGAGAAATTGAACATTGATACATGGGGTTTTAATTGAAATGAATAATTTCTTTTTTATTTTTTTGTTGAAAAAAAGTATTTTTGACAATCGTAATAAATGATACATTAGTTTTTTGCTTTTAATGATTGTGAAAATGTGAAAATAAGATGTGATAATTTTGATAAGATTCATTGGGCATTTGTAATTTTTTTTCTTCTGTAGATAAAATATGTTCAATAGTGAAGAAAATTAATTGATTTTGCTTAGTAATAGAAAAATTATATGAATGCACGAAATTGGACATGTCTATCTAAAGAATCGGTACATTATTGAAACCATAGTACGTAGGTACTGAATCAGACTCTTAGATATGAACTTACCAATTATGAAAAAAGTTTTCACATCTTGAAACTATATGACACAAAGAAGTAACAGTGCGCATCCACGACTCCTGCATCCCGCAGGATTCAAACCCAGGACCTTCGGTATTGTGCGCGAACGCTCTAACCATTAGACCACTGAGCCGATATATCTAGCAGTGTTAATGTCTAACTTGATCAAATTCACGGAGTTACGCAACCTCATACCCTGTATACAACTGGGCAGGTTTGAACTTCACTGGTCACGACTTCTCACCAGAACTCGGAGAAGATTCCTCACCAAGCTAGTCGTCCCATACCATGACGAAACGGCCGTCATTCGGTGCTTCCAGGTTTCTAATGGTGTTGGTCTAACATTGATCGATTCCTGGTTACTAATGAAACTTAACAATCTTCACAACAAACCCGCAATACAAAAAAGTAGAATATGAAAGGGATTCCGGAAGAAAATTGTGTTATGTGCCAAACATAAGGGGTGTTGACAAGAGATGATGTAGAAATTTTATAGCTTATGTGGATGATTGTAGTGGTGTTTGGTTCTTTGAGCACTGGAGGTTTTGGTTGTGGAGCTTTCATCATTGTTCTTCTACTGAACAATGGCATCATCAGCACAAACTTCAGATGGGAAAAGTGAAGTATTTGAATTTCTCCACGTTCAATCCATAGCTTGTTCTGTTAACCTCGATCTTGATTGGTTGGTGTTGACCTTAAACCTGCCGTTGTTTGCACTTTTGTTTTGATTGTATCCCCCTTTTGATCTGTTGCTTAATCCTATGTTTGCCTATGAATTTTTTGATTGGTTGATAAATTGGGTCAATGTCGATGTGTTTGTTGATTGCTGAATGACCTGAATGACAAATATGGACATACGTTCGTGAGGAACAATGTGGAAATACTGGATAGGGGAGGACAGAGAACACTAGAGAATTTTTTAGAAGCTTGTCACTCAGGTTAATAAGCAATCAACGAAAACACTTACATTGACCCAATTTATCTACCAATCAGAAAAATCATAGGCGACATAGGATCAAGAAACAGATCGAAGGGGTATACAATCAAAACAATGGTGTAAACAACGACAGGTTTAAGGTCAACAGCAACCAATCAAGATCGAGGTTATCAGAACAAGCTACAGCATAGAGTAATTCGGATACTTCAGTCCTTCTATCTGAAGTTTGTGCAGATGATGCCGTTGTTCAGTAGAAGAACAATGAAAGCTTTACGACCAAAACATCCGATGTTGCTAAGATTCTAGAAGCTTCTGAAGGATATATTCAAGTTGATAAACCACTCTTGTTAGGGGCGGCCTAACGAAATCATGGCACAAATGTATGGAGTCAATGACAACTGTGCTGAGCCATGTTAATAGGTGTAGACTACCTGGTTGGTGTTCGCTAGATGACAGTAGTCAATGGTTAGAGACGTTGAATAACATGGCTCAAAATCGTTTGCAATGCCTCAGGTGCATCCACTCTTTGTGTTCTCCGGAATTCTAATCTTATAAATTGCTTTTGTGGCTCTCCCAAGGAAGTTTCTATCATGTATAGATAAACTCAATTTGTGTGCTTGAAAACCTCATGTTTTCTGGTTGCTTGTAGAATACACTTTCTACGTATTGTCAAGACTTCTTCCTCTTCTTAGTGGAGCCTTGGGACTCTTGGATTAGAGTAGCCTGCCGTGTCACTGGATCATTTTACTTAGCTCTTGTTTACCACGTAAGGTGAACTCGTAATAGCATTCAAGCATATCAACTGGTGGGAAGCATAACAGCTACTCACAAACTCGTTTTCTCTCCTTAAATTTACCTCGCTGGATTATACTTCTTTTCGATTACCGCTAATACTTCTAATACCTCTACCACTATGCGATTTGAATTAACAATTCTATCTCTGCGTGCTAATACGGTATGGCAACTTGAACTGATATACGTACGTACGAAGTTCCACGTTGTAGCTGACTGACTAACAGACCAGTTGATTACTTCTATTAATAAAATTATTGAGTAATCATATTGAAAAAAAACTGACCCGATTGTTTATTTAGGAGGAATCGATTTGATGTTAACATAGTTTTCATCAAATGACGTTTACTGATGAACCTCGTTAAAAACTGCTGACCTATACATAAGTATATATTTTCTTTCATAAATTTGAGATTACTAACAAGTAGTAATTTAATATTCCATGAAAAAAGTTGATCTTATCAATATTCATTGATGAAGTCTCTCTAAATCAAAAAACCTGTTTACGGTATTATTTTGGATATGATACAATTTAATAGATCTATTCGAAAATTGATGGATCTTGAAACTACATAGAATTGTCACCAGAGGATCGAAATCACAAATCGACTTTTATTAGATCAACATTGGAAACTTGCAAACACTGGATGAATGTTTTGTCATAATATGGCACTCCTCAACAGTGATCATACACCAGCCCACAGGCGGGAACAAAACTTAGGACCTTTGGTCATGCGATCACTAGAGTCCAACAATGAATGTCTCATATGAGGCAGTTACCGATTAAGTCATTGTCACCATTGGATGCCGCTGACTCAGTGATCTAGAGATTGAGCGTTCACACGAAAGACAAGTCTTAAGTCCGATCCCCCACGATTCGCGCTGCCATCCTGAAGTCCCATACTAGATTTCCAATGCTGGTCTAATATTGATCGTTTCCGGATTTTATTTGTTAGAAAAATATACAATGTTTTTTTTAGATTACCGTCTACTTAATATTCCGTGTGGTGTTTGTGGTGATCGTTCAACAGGGAAACATTATGGAGTATATAGCTGTGATGGTGAGTGTCAAATAAATATTTACTGACTCATTACAGAATAAACTGTTATATGTGTCATTGTTTTAAAGTTTGTTATTCGTTTCTGTAATAATGTTTTTTATGACAATAAGGAAAGATTCACTATTTAACAGTATATTCCAAAGAACTCCATACTATCATCATATTGAGACGATGAATCAATCAATGTTACCGACCTGACTGAAGCTGCTAACTTGACGTGATAGTCGGGCTTGCCTATCCTGATGACCCAACCGAGCAATATTGGCTGGAACATATGTTCCTGAAGGTTCTACCATGCCAGGCAGGTCGATTGGAGAACGACGAGACTAAAAGCAGCTACTCAAGGTCTGAGGGCGAAGTTGTCCTGCTGACTGCAGAGGGGTGTGACAGTAGTCAGATGTTTACCTCATGTATCCTGGGACAACCGTACAAGCAATACTGTCTTTAGGAAAGGCGTTCTAGGTAGGGATGGCAGATCAATAGATGAAGTAGTGAAATTTCATCAGTTGAAGTGGTTGGCACATGTGTTACGAATGCCTAATTACCGACTGCCGCGACGAGCTATGTTTTGTGGTATAGGAGTAGATTGGAAGAAAGATATGGGGGCGGCCAGACCAAAACATGGCACAAATCCATGAAGTCACTGACAAGTGGACTGAGTCACGTTGAAGATGTAGGCTATCTGCTTGGGGTCTGAGAGACGAAGGTAATCGATGGTTAGAGATCTTGAGCGACATGGCTCAAAATCGTTTGCAATGGCACAGGTGCATCCACTCTTTGTGTTATCTCTAATTCTAACCTTCAGAATTCAATCATAATCTCTTTCTTTCTCCTTCTAAATTCATCTCACTGAATTATATTTCATGACTCATATCTTCGAACCCTAATCCTAAATATTACTGCTAATACTTCTACTATCTCTATCAGTAGGGAATTTGAACTGACAGTTTCGTCTCTGTGCTGATGTGGTGTGGCAACCTGAACTGATGTACTGACGTACGAAATTCTGCTTTGTATCTGTCTGTCTGTCTACAATTATGACAGTAGATAATTTGATATTCTTTATATACTTAGTATAGTGTTTATCCTGATAACCATTACACTAGATAACACTCGACAGTATATCCAATATAGGAGATGAATATGAAGTGTTTTATCACACCACATACAAGTCACCGAAAACCATAAGCATACGAATCAAAAAGGCAAATGATATGCGAGTGCTGAAGAGTTAGTGAGCGAATATATTTGAAACATGAATGGCTTATCAACAAATGATTTAAACAACCACTGTTAAAGTTAGTAGAATGACTTTGTGCATAAGTTGTAAGGCAATGTTCAGTTATACATGTTCGTAACAATAATAAAAGTAAAATGCTATAGAGAAGCTTTGTTGTTGCACTAATGACTCGATCTAATAAATACATTAATAAAAGGGTTTAATCGAACTGAACGTAACACAAATTCAAATGAATGTGAGTGATGTTATTGTAATTGCAAACTTTGTTTTTTATAGCCTGAAGATACTTTGTAAGCTGGGGAGGAATTATTTCAGGTGTAGTATCTGAGATTATCTGAAAGAGGAAAGAACTTGAAGAAAAGTAAGCTGATGACTTAGTGAGTACATAGAATAATGGTACTTACATTTAATAGAGAAAGCCATAGATGCAAACTTGAGATTATAAGATAAACTATAATGATCGAAAATAGAAGTTGTTGGTAGATTGAGGTTTTGACTCAGGTTACATGATATGGTATCATTTTTTGGCTTGACAAAGTTGAAATTTAACTCACACACCACTCTAATATACTACTCATAATACAGTTATGGAGATTGTTTGTTTTACATTACAATAATTAAGAGACCATTAACAGAACCTAGAAGCACTGGATAGCTGTTTCATCCTAGTATCGAACTGACCAGCTGTGTGTATTCACGACTCCTGCACATGGGAATCGAATCCCTAGAGGTTCGATCTGGCGCGGTAGTATGCAGCCATGTTAATGTCAGACTTTGATCAATCTAATGTATTGCGCAACATATCACTCATTGTCTTCTGTAGTTACTACCTCAATGCCTCCTACTCAGTTTGAACTCCACTTTTTACTGCTTCATCTAATATACTGTTAGGATATTCATCCAACATCATAAGAGAATTATTGGTTTATTCCTATTGGTTAATTCCTACTGGTCAATTTTATAATCGTACTAGATGTCAATATCACGTGCTCCAATATTGTTTCTTATTGATTGTCCTGACTATCAATGTCACTTCAAATGTTGCTTCCTCCTATTGGTCATCTTAACTGTCAATATCACAGACTTTGATGCTGTTTCCTATTCGACAAAAATGTATAAATACGCATTATCTGTAAGATTTTATGATCAGGACCAGGACTCGGTCCCGGATCCCTAGTCCGTGATCCTGTTTCTCCTTTGGATTCGGACCTCGTACTTTCTGGATGCTTGTAGAATACACGTTCTACTTCATATCAAGTCTTGTCTTCTTTTACTCAATATGGGAGTTGGGACACTCGGATTAGAGTAACATGTCGTGCCGCCGCCGGATCGTCGATCCTCACTCTCGTTTCCTGACCATGGTAAACTCATCATAGTTCAAGTATATCAAGTTGACATGTTTACGTGCAGGCGTAACATATATTTTGATTTAAATACAAAGTAAACATTATTACCATACCTTAAAATATAATTTAAATGCCTAAAACGTTTTTCCAAATTATTTTTTTCATATCATTTAGGTTGTTCTGGATTTTTCAAAAGAAGTATACATAAAAATCGTTCATATATATGTAAAGCAAGTGGTCATTTAAAAGGTAAATGTACCATTGATCGTCATCATCGTAATCATTGTCGTGCATGTCGATTAAATAAATGTTTCTTAGCACAAATGAATGAAGAAAGTAAGTAGATTGTAATCATGATTATGAATATTGTTTTGAAATTTTTATTTATACAAATTATACTACTTAAATGTATTTTGAAGTAGTTTAAGAAGAAAAAAGAAGAACAAATTCTAATCATTGATTTGGAGAACGTAAGAAAGAAGTGAGGAGCTGACAGCTTCAGATCATAAGATGGCGGTGGCCAAGAAGAAAGTGAAACTAAAGAAGCACTGGACAAAGGGGTGAGCAGTATCACAAAAGTTTAATATAGCCTTTCTTCGGGATACTGGCAAACACAGCTAATTCAAGGTAGTTCTCAGCAATGAGTTGCAAGTCTATCAGGATCTACTCATCGCAGAAGAAACCGCCATAGAGAACATTTCGAAAGCAATCAAAAAAAGAGATAACTACACCATTTCATGATATATTAGGCGATAAGGACTAATATCAAAGGGGAATGAATCTCTGTTGATACTATGGATAAGATTAAATGAAGGAGCAACAAGAAAGCATCAATCAACGACAGTCAAACAGCAGCAGAGAAATCTAAGTCACAGGTCGAATACACGAAAGCGAACAATCAAGTAGATGGGCCGAAATATGTGAAAAATCGCAGCAAGGACAGTGGAAAAAACTGAAGGAGAAGAGAAAATGACACAACTATTTAATATAAAGAAGAAAGACAGATGAAGAACAAGGAAGTTAAGGCAGTTAGCGAGGAGCGAGAACAGAGGAACTTCTGGATAGAACACTTTGAACAGTTCTCGAATAACGCAGCCCATCTGAATCTACTGACAATCAAATCAGAACTTACAGACCTTCCTACAGATGTCAACCTATCAACAATGAAACTCATTACTTCACATCAACTGTCGTGTGTGTGAGAAAGCGTTTTACAATGTAAATAAAACATTACGAGACCGTCTTCTAGACAATCGTACACAAGAGAACACTGTCACTATCTGAGGGGATACTTGTGATAACCTAAACTTCGAAACCGTACATGAAAAGCAACTCACAGACTGATTCCAAGTGAAAACCGGTGTTAAACCACGCTATTCACTCTAACCGTTTGTCGTCAGTCTAGCGATTGACAGCATTATGAAAACTTTACATCTCGAGGAAACCGCTGAAATACATTGGACAACTTGGATGGTGGTTGACCGATTTGGGTTTTTCCGATAACCTAGCTTTTCTATCGCATACACAGAAACAGATGCAGTTGAGAACGACCATTTCAACTGACTCAATCCCGACGGATCACTGTTCGTCAACCTAAAACAAAGTTATCAAATCAATAATTTTTATGGCACAACTTTTAGGATGATATATTTGTTACCTGTAACAATTCTCAACATACTTCTCATATAGTGAAACTTTTCAACAGAGCACAATCCTAACAATCGGTTTACGATAGAATGAAAACATGACAATATGTTTGACTTTCTAGATCTTGGCATTAAACGGAATACAGATGACCGGTTAGAAAGATATATCTTTACCGGAAATTTAGGCAAGTCTGTTCAATAAGCTACAAAATAGCTTTGCTTAGAACATTATTCAACCGCCTACGAAAATGATGCTCTGAGGATAGAATCGACAGATAAACGAATTCATAATTGTTACACGTCGTTGAAACAGTTGCAATAATTAGGTAGAATTCAAATCTTTACATCCAGTTATCAATCTTGTTGTGCTTAACAACTTGACATTGAACAGATAGTTCAGTCAAGAAAATGGAAATTTATCACTTAGAACTCTGTCTTTTTGATCAAAGACTGAACACAAGAATTGTACGGCTCATAGCTTATTAACTTTGCTTATGCACAGGTGGGGCAACCGAATTTTATTTAACGAAAATTACAGTTACTCAGTAAAATAGGAAAACCATATCGTAAATCGTTAATTTGCAAATTATCAGTCCATCCTATGGAACTGGACTGTTCCTGTTGCAAAACATCAATCCATTGTCTGACATTTCACTGTTCATGCGTGTTTCATACAAATTCCATTGTGTTCTAACTCTTCCTTTCTTGATATTCCCCCATCTTCTGCTACCAGACATTACGTTGACACTCACGACATAGACTACTTATAAGTAGCTCACACCATATTACCTCCAACGGAGCAGAGACCAGTATTTTCCAACACACTGTATACTGTACTTCCCTTTCCAATTCTGTCTAATTTTTGTTCATTCTTCTCATGTTTGTCTCCATTTCTCGGCATATTGTTGTTCCTTGGCCTTCCATTTTTCCTATAACCTTGAGGGTTCGAAGTGACAGCTCATTTTGTGACTCAACTGGGTGCTTTCTTCTATGTGTGTCCTATCCACTTCCAGCACTTAATCCTGATTTCTTCCTTCACTGGAATTGAGTTTGTTCTCAGCCACACTAGATTATTGCTGATGGTGTCTGGCCAACCGACCCGAAGTATTTTGCATAGACAACTGTTGATAAATACTTGTATCTTCTGGATAATGGCTTCGGAAAATCGCCGATAGTAAAACTGTCTTGAAATTTGTCTTCAAAATTCTGATTTCGATATTGGTTGATTGTTGTTTGAAGTTCCAAATGTTCTTATTAACTAGAATATCTAAACAACTATTAGATACACTATCTTCATATTGAAAAATCTCCTAAAACATTCTACATCCTAATTATTATTCTCATCATTATTATCTTATGTTGTTTATCATACATTTTCAGGTGTTCAACATGAACGTGGACCAAGAAAATCCAATAACAATAATATTAAAAACTTGACATCAATTATCAATTCTACCATAGAAGAATCTACAAATAAACAAAATGAAGAATATCCTTTAAATCTTTCTATACATCAAAATAATTCAAAGATAAATCATAATAACAATATTAATAATAATGATATCAATCGAAATTTGAATCAGGCGGTAGAAACTCAATCGATTTGTTTAAATGAATCAATTCAATGTTCAGTGGGGCGCCTGTTCGAAATGAATTCGTTCAATGCCACTGCCACTACCACTACCACTACCACCACCAATATACCATCATCATCATCATCAATGATAAATTTATTATCACAAAAATATGATTTGAAATTATTTACAAAATTAATGCATAATTTTTATAATCTATGGATTAATAATAATAAACATACATTGACTTATCCATTTTGCACAATTAATCAGTTTGATAATAAAGTTAAAGATCTTAATTTGAATGAATTGAACATTGATCAACAAAGTATCATTTATCCATGGAATCAATGGTTGTTATTGACAACAGACTATTTGAGTTTATCGAATAATTTACAAGAAAGTATGTTTGTTTTTTTCGATTAAAGTTTGCGCGATTAGTGTTTGTTGCACATTTGAAATCATCAATCAAAGACATTCCGTTTACGTAGTGGGTCGCCCTGTGTTTGCCCGTGATTACAGAACGAACCATAGTCCTTGGATAGAAGCGCGAGTGGTCATAACAGTTGGGCGAGTTATGTACGAACTATAGGTAGGAGGTGATAAATTGTCACGTCATCAAAATCAGATACGCAGACGGCTAGCCTCAGATCGCCCATCAAGAGCAGAAAACCTTCCCCTTGATATCTTAGTTGGTACCTTCAACCTACTGGCAGCCTCGCCACGAGAAGAAACTCAGCAGCAAGCTGTTCTTCGTTGCCGAAGGTATCCCCTCACAGAGTCAAGACACAAGTCGAACCCAGGAGCACAATCTATTAAAAAGGGGAGGAGTGTTGGGGATGTTAGATCTGCAGAACTCGCCTGATAAATGCCTTATTTTGGATTTCATGTTTGCGAGCATGGGGCTGATCAGTTGACTTTGGGATTTCATTTCCCACAAGGAAAATCCATGGCTGTGATTGGCTGCTGGGTATTTTAGTGTGCTATTTTCATAACTGTTCCAAGGACGTTTCTATGATGTATAAATAAGCGAGAGTTGTATGCTTGACTGTACTGTGATTGCTGGGTGTTTGTAGAATATACTTTCTACGCTTACAAAGCCTTTTTTCTTCAGCTCAGGATTCAAGGTAGCCTACCTGGACGCTGCCTCAAGCATACTTAGTGACGAACCCTAATAGATTGATTGATGATTTCAATGTATCAGGAAGTATGTGTTTGTGAAATAAAAGTAATGTGGCAGTTGAAAAATCTTATTTAGCAGTTAGAAGAATTTTTTAGAAATCTTTATCAGTTTAGGGTTATGATGAATGTTGAGTTTCACTGAAATCATGGAACTATCCATGTTAAACCATCATTCGATGCCTTATGCTGATGAATTTCATAACATACAAAGACCGAACAATGGTGCAGTGCTTTGAGGATTCCAATAATGGTTTAATATTGATCAGTCGGTAAACGAGAGTGAAAACAAATGATCCAGTGACACGGTAGACTAATCTAATCCGTCCCAACGCTACACTGAGTAGAGGAAGAAGTCTTGATATGGTGTAGAAAGTGTATTCTACAACCACCCAGAAAATATGAGGTTCACAAGCACATAAAATGAGTTTACTTATACATGATAGAAATGTCCTTGAGAGAGCCACAAAAATAACATACTAAAATAACACATCAACCAGTGACAGTCAAGGATTTCCCTGGTGGGAAATGTAATCTCAAGGTCAACTGATCGGCTAAAGCTCGAAAACATAGAACCAAATTTAGGACATTTATCAAGGGAGTTCTGGGGTTCTAACGTCCCCAACATCTTCATTTGAGCAAGAGCAACATTAAATGACTAATTTTTCAAATTGTACGAACACAAATTCTTTATTTCATCAAAAACCACCATTCATTTGGTTATCATCGGCTTGTAAATATTGGCAATATCAGAATACGTGATAGATGACTGTAGTCATTCAACAGAGAACCCTTGGGATTTAGATTTCATGAGAGTTGGCACTCATCAACAATCTCACCTAACTAACGAAAAAGTTACATTCGAGATTTCTTATCGTTCGTTTACCTCCAACCAATGAACGTCATAACAGTACATGTATTGTTGAGTCATTTAAAGTAGCGGTTACATGATAACTTGATCAATCAGTATCAGTCAATGCTAAGCGATCAAATACACATGATAATGGTCACTGCTCAAACTCCTAATGCGACATCGGCCACTGACCAAGCAATTACTTTTTACTGGTTATCATTCATTTTAGCCACTTAAATTTTGTTACGCCTGCACGTAAGCACATCAACTTGATATACTTGAACTATTACGAGTATACCTTAGTCGGAATACGAGAGCGACGATCGAGGATCCGGTGACATGACATGCTACTCAAATCCGATTGTCCACAACCCCCCTTGAGTAAAAGAAGACAAGACTTGAATGTGAAGTAGCACCTGTATTCTACAAGCATTCAGAAAGTACGAGGTCCGAATCCAGAAGAGAATCAGGATCCCGAACCAGGGATCCGGGTCCTCGTCCTGGTCATAAAACGTTACAGATAATGCGTATTTATACATTTTGGTCGAATGAGAAACAGCATCGAAGTCTGTAGCATTGACAGTTAAGACGACCAATAGGAAGTTACATTTGAAGTGACACTGATAGTCAGGACAACCAATAAGAAACAACATTGGAGTACGTGACATTGATATCAATAGGACGACCATAAAATTGACCAGTAGGAATTAACCAATAGGAATTGACCAATAATTCTCTGAGGATATTTGATGAATATCCTAACAGATTCCTGCCTAACCCTCCTCCTTTGTCCAGGCTTGGGACTAGCGGTAACCCTAGAAGGGCTTTAGGCGGAGATTTTTTAATACCATCTAGCCCATATTAGATTGAAAGACAACTGGTTACACTTCTTCATTTTGTTTACACATTTGAAATCATCAATCAATCATTGTTAGACCACCATTAGAAACCTAAAAGCACTGGACGGACGTTTCGTCCTAGTATGAGGCTCATCAGTAAGCAGTGCGTATTCACAGCACCTACCCCTGGCACGATTCGAACCCAGGACCTCCGGTCATGCGCGTGAATGCCTAATTACTGAGCCGAAACAGGGAGACACGACACTCCATGTTTCTAATGCTGATCTAATCTCTAATAATTCTAATCGAAAACTAGATAATCATTCCCATTGTAGTGAACGAGAACACAGGTGGGGCAACCAAATTGTAATTAACGAAAATTACAGAGTTACTCAGTAAAATAGGAAAACCATATCGTAAATCGTTAATTTGCAAAATATCAGTTCATCATATCGAATTGGACTGTTCCTGTTGCAAAACATCAATCCATTTGTCACTATTCATGCGTTTCATACAAATTCCATTGTGTTCTAACTCTTCCTTTCCCTTGATCTTTCCTCATCTTCTGCTGTCAGACATTAGGTTGACACTCACGTCATATACTACTCATAAGTAGCTCGCACCACACCATTATCACTAATAATACAATAAAAATAACATGATAACATTGAGTTTAGACGACAATTTTTCATTTTCTTGTTCTTTTTTTGCATCATCTCAACAGCTTTGTTCACAAAATTCAATAATCCAAAATTAACATCCGACAATACGCAATGGAATATTGATTACCCGAATTCTCATTCTGATTATTCTGATTATGATTATTCCAACAGTCAGTTCATGAAAATGTTGAATACAAATCATCATTTCAATTGGAATCAATTTGTAAAATTAAATGATTGGCATAAAATGCGAATTGGTTTACAAATTCTAACAAATATGATTCATTGGATTAGGTATTATTTTGTGTTGGATAATATTGATTTACAAAGTAACGATAATCATGATAAGAAGGTAAGTGTGAATCAATGTATGTTCACTGTGTACTGTGCTGTACTGCACTGTACTGTACTTACGCCTATTACCGCCAATGGAGCATAGGCTGCCAACCAGTGTTCTCCAGATTGTATCTTTGCATTTCTGAAGCAATTTGGAGTAGACTTCCAGTCTCTTACATTGTTCAGATATTCCATGTAGCTAAAAGAATGGTTGTTCTGGTTGTCAGAAGGGGTATCGGCTTCGTGACTTCCGAAGGACGTCAGCTTTCATCATAAGACGTTATAAATTTTTTGAATGAAGACTGTAAGGTTCGTAACTAGGTATGATTGAGGCTATTACGAGTTCAGCTTAGTCGATAAATGCGAACGAGACAATGAACCAGCGTCCAGATAGGCTACCTTGAATCCTAAGCTGTAAAACAGACGTTTTGGTAAGCGTAGAAAGTATATTCTACAAACATTCAGCAATCGCACTACAATCAAGCATACAACTCTCGTTTATTTATACATCATAGAAACGTCATTGGGACAGTTAAGAAAATAGCACACTGGAATACACAGCAGCCAATCACAGCCATGGATTTTCCTTGTGGGAAATGAAATCCCAAAGTCAACTGATCAGCCCCATGCTCGCAAACATGAAATCCAAAATAAGGCATTTATCAAGCGAGTTTTAAGGATCTAACATCTCCAGCAACTGTACTTACGCCTGTTACCGCCAATGGAGCATAGGCTGCCGACCACTATTCTCCAACTTATTCTGTACTGATTGCAAGCGAATCCAGATTCTATCTTTGCATTTCTGAAGCAATTTGGAGCAGACTTCCGGTCTCTTACATTGTTCAGACATTCCATGTACCTAAAAGAATGGTTGTTCTGGTTGTCAGAACGGGCATCGGATTCGTGACCTCCAGAAGGAACTCAGCTTTCATCATGAAACGTCATAAACTTTTTGAATGAAGATCTTTTGATTTCGAGGACAGAGTTAAAGTGGTTTGAACTATTTTTTATTGTTAGGGTTTTCTAAGCGAGTTCGTTTTTTTTAATGGGATGGGGTCTTCAGACCCAAACCCAACTCTCCTCCTTTATCCAGGCTTGGGACCAGGAGTAGCCTCAGAGCGGCTCCCGGCGGAGTTACTGTGTGCTGTGTTAAAGTTTTATTTTTCAGTTTTTGATAAGAACATTCAACTGGTTAATCTCAGTCAATCCCTTAGTCAGTCAGTCAGTTAGATATAACGCACACACAGTTCGAGTTGCCAAACCATCGCATTAGCACACAGAGAAATGGAAATGTCAATTCAAATCCCATAATGTTACATGTAGTAGAAGTATTAGCGGTAATCGAAAAGATGAGGGTTCGAAGATCTGATTCAAGAAAGACAATGAGGAATTAAGAAGATTAAAGTTTGGCTGAAGGCAAAAAAATCAATGCATCTGTGTCATTGCAAGCGATTTTCAGCTGCGTCATTCAAAGTCTCTAACGATCGGCTATGATCGTCTCATGGACCTCATAGATTTTAATTTCCTTCTAGCTTATCTCTACATCAGCAGTAGGTTTCAACATACATAAAGGAAAAAGAAAAATTCTCAGATGCAACACAACATGCACCAACCGAATCACTCTTCATGAAGATGCCTTGGAGGACGTTAACTCATTTACATATCTGAGCAGCATCATCGACGAGAAAGGTGGATCCGATTCAGATGTGAGGGCGCGGATTGGCAAAGCAAGGGCTTCATTTCTACAACTGAAAAATATCTGGAAATCCAAACAACTTTCAACCAAAACCAAAATCAGGATTTTCAATACAAATGTCAAAACAGTTCTACTGTATGGAGTGGAAACTTGGAGAACTACGAAAGGCATCATCCAGAAGATACAAGTGTTTATTAACAGTTGTCTACACAAAATACTTCTGATTTGTTGGCCAGTTATGATCAGCAACAACGTACTGTGGGAGAGAACAAACCAGATTCCAGTGGAGGAGGAAATCTGACAGAAGCGGTGGAAGTGGATAGAACACACACAGTAGGAAAAGCACCCAACTTCGTCACAAGACAAGCCCTCAAATGGAACCCTCAAGGCAAAAGGAAAAGAGGAAGGTCAAGGAACACACTACGCCGAGAAATAGAGAAAGATATGAGAGGAATGAACAAACATTGGACAGAACTGAAGAGGGAAGCCCAGGACAGAGTAGGTTGGAGAAAACTGGTGGGCGGCCTATGCTCCATTGGTAGGGTAACAGGCGTATCTAAGTAAGTAAGTAAGTAAGCTATCTCTACATCAGACAACATCAGTCACTGAGGCAGTCTGTGGTTGGGCATATACAACACATGTCCCAACCACGTCAATTGTTGAAGATGCAGTACTTCATCAGCTGATCCTTCATCTCTACCTAGTACCCAAGTGCATTACTTACTCGGTGTGTATATTTTAATTCTGTTGAAATATAGATATTAGTTGATATGACAGAATGTTTATAAAGCATAATATTGAAACGACCAAACATGCAATCAGTTAATTTCGATCAAAGAATTGTTTATTGAATACTTTGACGACTAGATGTGAAAATTCTGTGTTCATTCTATGAAAGGGTTGTTGTTGCATACTTATAGTATGTTCAATTACGTGACCTCTTCAATCAGGTAAGATAATAATCCTGCTACCTCTGAGATAAAATATGCATCCAACAATTACCACACACAACTCAGCAAGATAAGATGAAATAAGAAATTCACACAGAATTATCAGAACATATCTTCAAAGTTATTGACAAACCTGCTCAACTAGAGAATATTAAACTTACAGTTAACGAGAAGGAAATTCATCTGCGAAATCCTCATTCTGCATTTATCCACAGAGCCTTTGAAAATGCAACTTGTTAGGATATTTATCCAGTATCCTAAGAGAATTACTGGTCTATTCCTATCGGTTAATTCCTACTGGTCAGTTTTATGTTCGTCCTGGATGTCAATGTCACTTACTCCAATGTTGTTTCTTATTGGTTGTCCTGACTATCAATGTCACTTCAAATGTTGCTTCCTATTGGTCATCTTAACTGTCAATGTCACAGAATTCGATGCTGTTTCTCATTCGACCAAAATGTATAAATACGCATTATCTGTAACGTTTGATGACCAGGACCCGGTCCCGGATCCCTGGTTCGGGATCCTGATTCTCTTCTGGACTCGGACCTCGTACTTTCTGAATGCTTGTAGAATACATGTTCTACTTCATATCATTTCTTCTCATTTTTGCTCAATATGGGGTTGGGATAATCGGATTTGAGTAGCATGTCGTGTCACCGGATCCTCGATTCTCGCTCTCATTTTCCGACTAGGTAAACTCGTAATAGTTCAAGTAAATCAAGTTGACGTGTTTACGTGCAGGCGTAAAACAACTATATTCAGGCTTCCATGTCAATGCTATACGTTTCATAATATGTTACATCAGAAAATGACCTACGCTGGTTACTAGAAGTAATTCAAAACATCTTTTAGACTGTTTTTAAGGAACGTCATTTGTTTTAACAGTAAAGACATCTAGTTCTGTTGGAATTTTATCATGGAGATTTGAAGACTGCTGAGTTTCATTGAAATCATGAACCGCTAATTGTTAGACCATTATTAGAGATATGAAAGCACTAAACGGCCATTTCATCACACTAAGGAACTCATCAACATTGTGAATAAACAATCTCCGCTCGCGAGATTCCAAACTAGTACCTTCGGTCTTGTACACGAACGTTTAAACTGTAGACCACTAAGACAGCACACAACGGTGTTACTGCAAGGTATTGCACAACTTCATCCATTGTCTTCTGTGGTTAACTGCTTAAACTCGACAGGGTTAAATTCAAAAGGTTTCCGAGTTTGAAAAATATTCAATAACTACTTTCCATTAAATTGAACGTAAATATTTTGAAAAATTAAATTCTATTTTTGAATTTTCATACAAAATTTTGCAAGTTATAACAATTTCTTTTACTTATTCATTTAACCTACTTATAAGTAGTCAAATGTATTTCATTAAATAATTCAATCGTTTCTGCTTTTCTATTTTTAGATTGACATCACTAATACAAATTGGATATATTTATTTTATGTTCATGTAATGGAATATATACTGTACAATTTTCAAGATAATCATACTACTGATTCTGTTACTGCAAAAGATAAACCACAATCAAATAATTTCAATACCAGTCATGATTCATTCGCAAATTTTATGATGATCAATGATTATGATTCATCATTGGACATTAGCATTTCATTTGTTCAAAATTTAATTGACTTTAATTTAACTAAAGAAGAAATTGAATATTTAAAGTTTAAAATATTTAACAAGAATAATTTAAGTAAGTAAAATTTTATTAATGAGAAGTTTATTTTAAATATTTGTTCTATTGATCTTAGTGGCAACACATTTTTACAGTAGAACGTTGAGAACTGTTGTGCAGTAAACTTATCCTTCTGTTAACAGACGGATAACTCGCCTACTCCGTAAGTGACACATATTGGCAAAAGTTAGTCGATTCTTTTGTATCTGTGCTGAGATTTCATTAGACATGAGGCAATCAGCAGTGATGATGAGATTCCTAAGATTAGTGAAGTGGTCAAGACGCTCAACTACTTCATTCCCTATCATTAGTTCAGGTGTCGATGCTAGCCAATCCCGAAGCAAAATCTTTATTTCGGTTGGGTGAACCGCATTCCAAACACTCTTACATTGTTGCTTATGTTGGTCAGAGGATTGCATTTCGACAGAGTCTTGACGAAGTAGAACTATGTCTTTGGCATATTCCAGTCAACAGGTGAATCACCTGGTAGAAGGTCATCTGTTGGAAAGTCAGACGATGAAAGTGTCATCTCTAAAAGCATTTCGACAAGAATGTTGAATAAGAATGGAGGAAGTGGAAAACCTGGACTAACACCATTTGAAGTAGTCAACTCCGATGACAGTTCGCAATAAGCTATCACTCGAACAGTAGTGTTCGACTAGAGAGTGTGTACTTCTTTGGTACTCCTTTCAATGACAGACACTGCCACAAAAACTCGCGATTAACAGGATCAAATGCCGCCTCAAGGTCCAGGAATACAACAATTCTCCCACATCGGAATGTGTGTCTATATTCTAGGACCTGACATAGCGTGAATATCTGGTCTCTATACATCCACGTCCACACCAAGGTGTAATTCAGTTTCAGTTAATTTACCTATTTGAGCAATAAAGTCACCAGCCACGTGCTGTGAACTTCATCTTTTATCTTATCTGAACTGCAATCCACGAAATTGTAGAGAGAGACAATGAAGAGGCAATGGTGATCGTCTCTGTCTTCCTACGTTCTTAAGTTCCAATTTAGCCGGATAGCACAAAGGTGATTATCTGTTGGAATCCAGTCTGAGAGTTACTTTTGCTTTGGAAATCCGTGCTATACATACACCGGCGAGGCAACGGGTAGCAGTAATGGAGCTTGCAGATACACGAAGCGTAAATCGAGTTGATTCTATGTTTTAACATGGTGAAATCAAGTGAAACACTGTGCTTGGATCCTGTGTGCGCGTTTCGGAGACGTAGCATACATTGATTGGGCGGGATTCTAAACTTCTAGCTAAAGAAGCTTGTTATCCTGCTTGGCACAAATTCCAAACATTATAATATTCAACAAGTAGTTTGCAGAGTGGTTTCATGGTACTAAAAATAACATTCCATTTTGTTACGCCTGCACGTAAACACGTCAACTTGATGTACTTGAACTATTACGAGTTTACCTAGTTAGAAAACGAGAGCGAGGATCGAGAATCCGGCGACACGACATGCTACTCTAATCCGATTATCTCAACCCTCATATTGAGTAAAAATAAGAAGACAAGACTTGATATGAAGTAGAACATGTATTCTACAAGCATTCAGAAGGAACGAGGTCCGAGTCCAGAAGAGAATCAGGATCCCGAACCAGGGATCCGGGATCGGGTCCTGGTCATTAAACGTTACAGATAATGTGTATTTATACATTTAGTGTGAATATGAAACAGCATCGAATTCTGTGACATTGACAGTTAAGATGACCAATAGGAAGTAACAATTGAAGTGGCATTGATAGTCAGGACAATCAATAAGAACAACATTACAGTACGTGACATTGATATCTAGGACGATCATAAAATTGACCAGTAGTAATTAAACAATAGGGATTGACCAATAATTCTCTTAAGATATTAGATGAATATCCTTACACATTTATTCAAATCGTTAGCATTAGCGGCACGAGTTAATAACGATATGTGAGGAGGCTTAGTCGCGGAGAAAAGAGAATTATTAAGAGGTGTGGTGAGGATTAGATCGTGATCGAGTTATTCGGGTGTGCCATTAGAGGTATGAAGATGTATATCACTTAACGTATGCCAACACCGTGGAAGAGTATTTGTTGAGAAACTTAAAAAGAAAGTTGGATTGATGTTGGTCTTAACGACCTGGAACCATGACCGCAGAGCTCAAAGGACAATTGCTTGAGGTCGGTCACGCACAGCCTTTTTATGAGAATTTTATAGTGTCAGCTCCGCTCTTCAGACGACTTTACTTCCAGAGACAGAAATTCATGAGGTAAGGTGAGATGTGATATTGTTAGGGTCTACATTTTCTAACTGTTTTCTTCTTTGTTAGAAGGCATCATCTTTGCACATGCAAGTTGTCCAAGTGGAACACCTTACTGCTGCCAGACCCGTCTACATTCAGCAGTATGGTTTCGCCCTCAGATCTTGACTGATATAGTCAGTAAGCTGAGTATCTGTTACTTCACATTTAGTGACCGACGACAGTTACTTTCACTAGCCACACTCCAAATGTTCATAACTTTTATAATATGTAAATAAACATTCACACTAAACAACTCATCATATTCTCAAAAATGATTTAAGTTACTCAATTTTAGGCAGTAGTATATATAAACATACAAAAGAAATCCTCAGTTTCATTTCTGTTGATTTCCATGTATCGATATCCAGAAATGTATATATTTAAACTGTATTTCTGGTTAATATGAAATTTTTTCAGTGAACACACACTTCCATAATCCATATCGGAATATAAAGCCTAGGAATAATTGTTGAAAAAGTTAGTGTCTATTAATATTCAGTTAAACAGCTAAGCCTAGCTGAGGTGTATTCAGACAGTCAATCAATCAACAGAAACGTAGAACTTCGTACGTACGTACGTACATCAGTTCAAGTTGCCATACCACATAAGCACAGAAATGCGATCGTCAATTCAAATTCCATAATGTTAGAGAAGATAGTAAAAGTAACAGAGCAGTAATGGAGAAGATTAAGATTTGAAGGTATGATTCAGGAAGTATAATTCCGTGGAATAAGTTTAAAAAGAGAAAGATAAAGGTGATCAGGAATTCAGAAAATTAGGATTTGAGAAAAGACGAAGAATGAATGTGCCTGCATCATTCCAAAAGATTTTGAGCCATGTCATCGAAGGTCTTTAACCATCGATTATTATCATCTCACGGACCCCGACCAGGTAGCCTACATCTAACAACATGACTTAGTCCACTTGTCAGTGACTTCATGCATTTCTGCCATGTTTTGGTTTGGCTGCCGCTAGTTTTCGTCCAACCTATTCCTACATTGCAAAGCATAGCTCGACGACATAGTCGGTGGTTCGGGATACGTAACACATGTCCCAACCACCTCAACTGATGAAGTTTCACTACTTCATCTATAGAGCTTCCATCCGTACCTAGCACCCGTTCCCTAATAACAACATTGCTTACTCGGTTGTCCCATGATGCACGAGCAATGCTTCGGAGACACCTATGATTAAAAACCAGCAACCTACGAATATCTCCCACTTTGACTTCACAGCTATAATGTAGGATGGAGCGAACTGGTGTGGACTGTTTGTCAACAAACTTATCTTACTGAATCCGTATTTTGACTGCTTATTACCACTGTCGCATTTAAACGGGAGGTTCGCCTACGGGATGCATGATTCATGGAAATTGTAGGAAAGATTTACTTCACAAAGCATATTTCATTGATGAGAGTTAGATCATATGGGTCACAACACCAAACAAGTGGTCAATTGTACTTTGAATTCCATGCAACCGAGTAACAAAAAGGTTTTTTTTAAATAAATCAAAACTTTCATTACGGGGTTGTGAAGATTGTTAAGTTACACATTTTTTGAAACCATGAATCGATCAATGCTAGAAGACCACCATTAGAAACCTGGAAGCACTGTGCTTACTAGTGACTAGCTTCTTGAGGAATCTTCTCCGAGTTCTAGTGGGAAGACGTGACCAGTGAAGTTCAACCTGTTCGGGTGTAGGCAGTGTCTACCGAAGACTGTGTATTAGGTTGCGCAACTCTGTGAATTTGATCAAGTTAGACATTAAAACCATTGGATACCGGCTTAGTGGTCTAACGGTTAGGGCGTTCGCGCACAATACCGAAGGTGCGGGGTGCAGGAGTCGTGGATGCGCACTGCCACTGAGGAGTCCCGTACCAGGACGAAACTGCCGTCTTTCAGTGCTTCCAGGTTTTTAATGTTTGTAGTCTAACAATGATTGATTGATGATTTCAAATGTGTAGATCAAAACTTGCAAAATTATTCCACAACTCCTAATGTTGTTTTTTGTTTTTTGAAAACTGAAGCAGCTTATTTCAAAATAAATAATGAATACTTCTTGTTTTCTGTGTGATATTATTTTTAGATTTGATCCAGACTACAATGAATCATCATCCGACTGTATTCACTGCTGATTCACTGATACGATATGATTTAATCAATACACTCTGTGAATATCTATTGAATTTCAATGAAAATTGGTTGAAACAATTAAGTTTACAAATATTTTTCACAGCAATTATATCATCTCATAATAATAATAATAATTATAGTAGTAATCAACGTGAAAATCGATTAATTTTAGATAATATTTTGAGAAATTTATTAAATACAATTATTATTATTTATACCGAAATGAAATAAATGAAAACAATTCAATATATTTCATACTTACTTACTTAGTTACTTACGCCTGTTACCCCCAATGTAGCATAGGCCGCCGACCAGTTTTCTCCAGGCAACTCTGTCCTGGGTTTCACTTTTTCCAGTTTTATCCAATGTTTGTTCATTCCTCTTATATCTTTCTCTATTTCTCGGCGTAGTGTGTTCCTTGGCCTTCCTCTTTTCCTTTTGCCTTGAGGGCTTGTCTCGTGACGCAGTTAGGTGCTTTTCGTAGTGTGTGTACTATCCACGAACTCCACCGCTTCTTCCTGATTTCCTCCTTCACTGGAATCTGGTTTGTTCTCTTCCACAGTACGTTGTTGCTGATGGTGTCTGGCCAACGAATATGAAGTATTTTGTGTAGACAACTGTTAATAAACACTTGTATCTTATGGATGATGACTTTCGTAGTTCTCCAAGTTTCCGCTCGATACAATAGAACTGTCTTGACATTTGTATTGAAAATTCTAATTTTGGTGTTTATTGACAGTTGTTTTGAGTTGCAGATGTTGTTCAATTGTAGAAATGCAGCCCACGCTTTGCCAATCTGTGCCCTCACATCTGCATCCGATCCACCTTGGTTGTCGATGATGCTGCCAAGATATGTAAAGGTGTTAACGTCCTCCAAGGCATCTCCATCAAGCGTGATTAACATTTCATACTGATCATTATTTATAGGGTTTATTAGTGGTTGATAAGTTTGCTCACTCACTCACCCACCCACTCACTCATTCACTCAATCATTCACCCACTCAATCACCCACTCTCTGACTCACTTTGATTATGCATGTTACCTCCAATGATGCATAGGCTATTGATCAACATTCTCCAACCTACTCTGTCGTGGGTCTTTTTTTCCCCAAGTTCTATCCTATTGGTGTTCTCTTTGTCCCGATTTCTCGGTGTGATGTATGCTTTAGTCTTGTTCTTTTCCTTTAACCTTGAGGATTTCAAGTGAGAGCTTGTCTTGTGACGTAATTTGTCCTATCCACATCCAGCGCTTGTTCCTCAGTTGCAGGAATCTAGTTTGTTCTTTCTCATAGTAGGTTGTTGTGGGTGATGTCTAGCCGTTGGATTCGAAGTATTTTGCGTAGACAAATGTTAATCAATCCTAGTATCTTCTGGATGATGGCTTTTGTGATTCCGCACTATACAGTAGAATTATCTTGACAATTGTAGTTAGTTTTCAGTTAATGTTTTTCAATTTAAGAAATGCTACACTTGCAATTAATTAGTTATGTGAAGAATTTTCTCAGAGTTCTAGTGTGAAGCTGTAATCAGTTGTGTCAGGGAGATGTGAGGCAGTTACTTATCGAAGACAATGAATGAAGATCGTGTAAAATCATGGGTTGATGCGAATTAGACATTGACACTATAGGATGTCATCTCAGTGATCGAGGTCAAGTGTTCGAGCGTGAGACCGAAGGTCCGATTATCGTGCGTGGGCGTTTGTGGTTACGCTGTGCTAATTCAGTAATTTATAGGTTAGTTAAAGCCTATTTAATACTTATTGACACTGTGAAGTGATGACAGAGTTAAGCTGTAAGTAATATGTTTTCGAAGCATTGCTCAACAATGGTTGCATATCCAATGCGGGGTGGGGGGAATGTTGAAGTCTGGAATGGAGTTATGATTAAGCATATCAGAGACTGTGAAATTCTAAAGACAGATATAGTTAGGATTGATTACATAGCCTTCGTAACCACCGATTTAGAGGTACAGTGACGGCTAGTATAAATCGGTAAACGAGAGGGGAGACAAACGATCCAGTGATACGATAGACTACTCTAATCCGAGCGTCCCAAGGCCCTACTAAGTAGAGAAAGAAGTTTTGACATGACGTAGCAAGTGTATTCTACAAGTAATCAGAAAATCGAATTTATTCACAAATGATAGAAACGTTTTTTGGAGAGACACAAAAATAGCATACTAGAATAACACATAAACCAATGACAGTCAAGGATTTTCCGAGTGGGAAATGTAATCTCAAGGTCAACCGATGCACGAAAGCATAAAATCCTAAATTAGGACCTTTATCAAGTGAATTTTGGGTATCTAACGTCCCCAATTGGGATGCTTTAATCGCCATACCAAATTCTAATCCACATATGGCATAGGCATATACATAAGACTATGCTAATGAACCAGAGAAGAATGTCTAGAGGTTGAGATCTTCACTAGGCACACTATTGACTTCTTCCAATAGTAAGTTATAAGTTAGTTGTAGTCAATTCAAAAAGAGTTCTACAATGTGACTTATGGAGGTATATCTAGTCGAGGGAAATAATACACACTGTGGAATTCAAAACTAAACCACACATATCCATAACATTACAACTAAACCTAGATCACATTGGAGAGATGAGGCTCATGAGAAATCAACATATGCATGCTATTTCTTGGTTGAACAACTCCCTGCCCCAACCATCCATTGACATGATATATTTTAATTTCAAAAATGGCTGACAGTTCAATAATCATGGAAGCGTTACAATCAATTTCTCTGATGCTTATTTTCCTACTGGTCAATTTCATGGTCGTCCTAGATATCAATGTCAGGTACTCCAATGTTGTTTTTTATTAGTTGTCCTGACTATCAATGTCACTACTCCAAATGTTGCTTCCTATCGGTCGTTTTAACTGTCAATGTCACAGACTTTGATGCTGTTTCCTATTCGACCTAAATGTATAAATACGCATTATCTGTAACATTTTACGAGCCGGATCCCTAGTCCGGGATCCTGATTCCCTTCTGGATGCTTGTAGAATACAGCTTCTACTGCATATCAAGTCTTCTTCTTTTATTCACTGGGGGTTGGGAAAATTCGGATTTAAGTAGAATGTCATGTCGCCGGATCCTCGCTCTCGTTTGCCGACTAAGGTAAACTCGTAACGCATGCATAACACAAACATCACAGATTGTTAAAGACGTTGAATATCATGACTCAAAAATTGTTTACAATGTGCCGCAGGTGCATCCATCCGTCGTCCTCTCTCAAATTCTAATCTGTTATATTCCTCACGGCCTTTATCTTCCGCTTTATTTCTTGAAAAAACATTTCTTTCACTAAATTCTACTACCCTCATACTTTTACTACATCTGTTGTGGTGCGCGCTACTTATAAGTAGTATATGACGCGAGTGAAAACGTAATGTCTGGCAGCAGAAGATGGGGGAAGATCAAGGAAGCAAGAAGAGTGGGAACACAATGGAATTTGTATGAAACGCCACCACTGGTCGGGTGAGAGCATATGGCGAACTGTCATCTGAATTCTCTACATCAAGTGGTGTCCGTCAGGGCTGTCCACTCTCTCCATTCTTGTTCAACTTTGTCGTAGACATCCTCTTAGAGTTAACATTAAGCTCGTCAGATTTTTCAGGGGTTGACCTTCTACCAGGAAAGTTGCTTACTGATCTAGAATATGCCGATGACATAGTTCTATTCGGTGAAGACGCTGACAAAATGCAGAGTCTTCTGACTACCATAAGCAACAATGCGAGCATGTTCGGGATGCGGTTTTCCCCCTCGAAATGCAAAATGTTGCTTCAAGACTGGGTTGCATTGGCGCCTGAACTAGTGATAGGGAGTGAAGTAGTCGATCGTGTAGAACGCTTCACTTATCTGGGGAGTCTCATCAGTGCTGACGGTCTGGTGACTGACGAAATCTCAGCTCGGATACAGAAAGCTCGATTGGCTTTTGCCAACCTGCGTCACTTATGGCGTAGGCGAGATATCCGTTCGCTAACCAAAGGGCGGGTGTACTGCGCAACAGTTCGTTCCGTTCTCTTATATGGCTGTGAAACATGGCCGTTAAGAGTAGAAGATGTTCGTAGGTTACTAGTATTCGATCAAAGATGTTTAAGAAGCATTGCTCGTATATCGTGGGACAGCCGAGTAAGCAATGCTGTCGTTAGGAAACGAGTACTAGGTAAGGATGGCAGATCAATAGATGAAGTGGTGAAACTTCATCAGTTGAGGTGGTTGGGACATGTGTTACGTATGGCTAACCACCGACTGCCTCGACGAGCTATGTTTTGTGGTGTAGGAGTAGGTTGGAAGAAAGTTAGGGGCGGCCAAACTAAAACATGGCAGAAATCCATGAAGTCACTGACAATTGGACTGAGCCATGTTGGTAGATGTAGACTACCTGGTTGGGGTCCGCGAGACAAAAGTCATCAATGGTTAGAGACCTTGAACGACATGGCTCAAAATCGTTTGCAATGGCGCAGGTGCATCCACTCTTTGAGCTCTCTCAAATCCTAATCTTCTGGATTCGTCAGCACCCCTACCTTTGTCTTTCTAACCTTATCTCACTGAATTATATTTTTTGAATAATATCTTAAACCCTAGTCTTCTTTATTAACATTAATACCTCTACTATCTTTATCACTATGGGATTTGATTTGATATTTCCGTCTCTGTGCTAATTTGGTGGTATGGCAACATGAACTTATGTACATACGTACGAAGTTCTACGTTACAACTGACTGATGAAACGCATGATTAAGTGAAATGTCAGACAATGATGGATTGAAGATTTGCAAATTAACAACGGTTTACGATATGGTTTTCCTATTTTACTGAGTAACTCTGTAATTTTCGTTTAGTACAATTCGGTTGCCCTCACCTATGTTCTCCTTCATTACACATCTATCAACACTACTACTATGAGATTTAAATTGACAGTTCTATCTCTCTGTGTACTAATTTGGTTATGGCAACTTGAACTGTTAATATACACAGATGTATCAAGTTGTACGTTGTAGCCAACTGACTGACTGACCAACCGAACAACGGACAAATTGATTAACACAAGGGAAACAGATCAAGAATTTATATATATATATATGATACAGTTTACTCAAGTAAATTATTAATCAGATAAATACAGAGACAGAAAACAATAATAATAATAACAATAATTATTAGAAAAACAAAGTACTCTTTCATTTATTAGTACATAATGAATGAATAAATAGATTGAATTTTCTGTTCAAACTACTATTACTACTATTATGATAATTAGTAGTTTCGAATTGATGATGACAATGTATTATCATTATACATCATTTTCCTTGTCGATTTCTACTTCTTGACTGTCATTTAAATGTTCATTGATCATGTGATTTATTGTAACAGCATCATGATCATCATCATCATCATCATCACCGTCAGGAACAATATCATTGTTGTGTTCATGTGATGATTTGTCATGTACACGTTTTTGGCCACTAGTAGGTAAACTACTACTACTACTACTACTATGACTAGTAGTAGTAGTAGTTATAGTAGATGTCAATACTGTAGAACTCGATGAAAATGCTTCTAGTTCATTAACTGTAGTACTACTACTACTAGTAGTAGTAGTAGTACAAGATGAAGTTATGACTGGAACAGACAAAACATTATCATGAGTAGTACAAATGGACACCTGTGCAGATGATATTGATGATGATGCTGAGGAGGAGGAGGAGGAGGACGAGGAGGCGGATGATGGCGACAACGACACTGACGAAGAAGAACAGCCTAAAGAAGCACTAGATGACGATGTTGATGATGATGATGTTACAATCTGTTCATTCAACTGATCTAGTTTCAGTTGTTTTTTACGTTTTGCATTCATTATATCCCATTGTTTACGATGTTTCTGTATGTACTGTTCCCAGTGGTGATGATTTAATTTAGTGAAATCTATTTCATTCACAGCAATTAATTCTAAATATTTAATTAAACGTAATAATTCACGATCATGTGAACAATTCACATGTGCATCACGATATGAACGAATCTACAAAAAAAAACAAAGGGGGGGGGGAAGAATATTTATTGTGTTGAGAGTAATAAAAGACTAACAAACAAAAGCTAGACAATTTTAGACCACAACCATTGGAAACCTGGAAGCACTGAAAGACGGCCGTTTCGTCCTGGCACATGGGACTCTTCAGTGGCAGTGCCCATCCACGACTCATGCATCTCGCAGGATTATAGACCCGGGACTTTCGGTATTGTGCGCGAACGCCTAACCATCGGACCACTGAGCCGGTATCTAACGGTGTTAATGCCTGACTAGATCAAATTCACGGAGTTGCGCAACCTCATACACAGTCTTCGGTAGACACTGCCTACACCCGAACAGGTTGAAATTCACTGGTCACGATGTCTTCCCACTAGAACTCGGAGAAGATTCCTCACCAAGCTAGTCGTCACTAGTGAGCACAGGTAATTTGCATTACGGCGTTGTTGTGAAGATTGTTAGGTTACACATTTTTGAAACCATCAATCGATCAATGTTGGACCACCATTAGAAATCTGGAAGCACATTAACACCGTTACATGCCGGCCCAGTGGTTCAGAAGTTAGGCATTCTCCCACAATACCAAAGGTCCTGGGTTCGAATCCTGCGAGGTGCAGGAGTCGTGGATGCGCACTACCACCGATGAGTCCCATACCAAGACGAAACGGCCGTCTTTCAGTGCTTCCAGGTTTCTAATGGTTGTGGTCTAACATTGATCGATGCATGGTTTCAAAAAATGTGTAACTTAACAATCTTCACAACCCCGTAATGCAAAGCTACACAAGTAAGTAAGTAAGTAAGTAAATGATATCAATTGTGTTTGCTGAATAATGAATAAATCGTGTTTACAATCAGTCAGTAACAAAATACGCATTGTATTATTAGCATTAGCGCAGAAATGTAATTGTCAATTCCGATCCCATAATGTTAGAGAGGATAGTAAACGTATTATAGAAGTACTAATGGAGAAGATGAAGATTTGAAGATATGATTCAAGGAGTATAATTCAGTGGAATAAGTTTAGAAAGAGAAAGATAAAGGTAATGAGGAATTCAGAAGGTTAGAATTCGAGAGAATACAAAGAACGAATGCATCTGCGCCATTGTAAAAGGTTATGAGTCATGTCATTCAAGGTCTCTAACTATTGGTGACTTTCAGCTCGCGGACCCGGTAGCCTACATCAACCAACATAGCTTAGTCCACTTGTCAGTGACTACATGGATTTGTGCCATATATTTGGTTTGGCCGCCCCTAACTTTCTTCCAGCCTGAACCTACACTACAAAACATCGCTCGTCGAGGCAGTCGGTGGTTAGCCATACGTAACACATATCGCAGCCACCTCAACTGATGAATTTTCAATATTTCATCTATTGATCTGCCATCCTTACCTAGTACTCGTTTCCTAACGACAACATTGCTTATACGATTGTTCCACGATACACGACCAATGCTTCGAAGACACCTATGATCGAAAATCAGTAACCTACGAATATCTTGTACTCTCAATGGCCATGTTTCACAGTCATAAAGTAGTACGGAGCCAACTACTGTGCAGTACACTCGTTCTTTAGTCAGCAAACGGATATCTTGCTTACGCCATAAGTGACGCAGGTTGAAAAAAGCCAATCGAGCCTTCTGTATCTGATCTGAGATTTCGTCAGTCACCAGGCCATCAGCGCTGATGAGACTCCCAAGATAAGTGAAGCGATCTACAGGTCGTTGAATGAGAGCAAGGATCGGTGATCCGGCGACCTGATAGACTATTCTAATCCGACTGTCCCCAAACTCCCTTTAAATAGACGAAGAAGAAGACTTGATATAAAGTGAAACGTGTATTCTACAAGCATCCAGAAAAGGACGCGGTCCGAGTTCAGATAAGGTTAAGCATCCGGGTCCTAAAATGTTACAGATAATGTATATTTATACAGTTAGGTTGAATAGGAAATAACATTTGAAGTATGTGACATTGATAGTTGGGACGACCAATAGGAATTGACCAATAGAATTAGACTTCTAAAAATAATCCTCTTCTTTTAGATTGATTCTCTCTCAATCCACCATCAATCTAATTCAAGCTGTGATAGAACATTCACTTTTTTTATCCTGTGTATTTCGCAGACAATACTTGTACATCGAGAAGGCAATAAGTAAGACTTCCATGGTTATACTCTTGTCTATATGACAGTATTTTTTTGTAGGAAGGTTGATAAACTCTCTCCCTAATTTCTAACTTAGTACAATAGAATTTGTTACTAGTGATAGGGAGTGAAGTCGTCGAGCGTGTAGACCACTTCACTTATTTCGGGAGTCTCATCAGCACTGATGACCTGGTGACTGACTGACTGTGCATCAGTTCGCTCCGTCCTACTATATGGATGCGAAACATTGCCAGTTAGAGTAGAAGATGCTTGTAGGTTACTAGTATTCGATCATAGATGTCTTCGAAGAATTGCTCGTATATCCTGGGACAACATAGTATGCAGTGCTGCTGTTAGGAAACGAGTACTAGGTCGGGATGGTAGATCAATAGGTGAAGTTGTGTAACTTCATCAGTTGAGGTGGTTGGGAGATCTGTTACGTATGCCTAACTACTGACTGCCGCGACGAGCTATGTTTTGCGGTGTAGGAGTAGGTTGGAAGAAAGTTAGGGGCGGCCAGACAAAAACAGTGGAAACCCATGAAGTTACTGACAAGTGGACTGAGTCACGTTGGTAGATGTACGTTTCCTGGTTTGGGTCCGCGAGACGATAGTCACCGATGGTTAGAGACCTTGAATGACATGGCTCAGAATCGTTTGCAATGGTGCAGGTGCATCCACTCTTTGTGTTCTATGAAATTCTAAGCTTCTGCATTCCTCATAATCTCTACCTTTCTCCTTCTAAATTTATCCCACTGAATTAAACTTTTCGAATCATATCTTCGTTCCCTAATCTACTCCATTACTGCTAATACTTCTATTATTGCTATCACTCTTGGATTTGAAATGACAGTTGCGTCTCTGTGCTTAAAGAACTGATGTACTTATGTACGAAGTTCTGGAATTGTATCTGTGCCTGTCTCATTCAACGACTAAGATGAACTCATAATAGGTCAAAGCATAATAAAAATGACATGGTCACATGCATTTATAACAAATAGAAAGTAAGCTAACAATATACACACACACACAGGAAAAAAAACAAAATTTCACTAACCCTTAATCCACTTTGAGGATTCATGATAAAATTTCTACGAACATCATCAAACATAATTGTGTTGTGTGGTCCCCATTGAGGGTGATTATTCCAGATAACAGCTAAAGGTTTAACCTTAAAATAAATTACAGTCAAGTGTTATTTGATTAGAAAAAAAAAGAATTTATTTTTATAAAAATCCTGTTACTTTTTCTTTTATTAGAAACCTAGAAGTATTGGCTGATCATTTGGTTTTCGTATGAGGCTCATTAGCAGTGTGCATCTATGAATGAGCCTGTTACGCCTGCACGTAAACGTGTCAACTTGATACACTTGAACTATTACGAGTTTACCAAGTCGGAAACGCGAGAGTGAGGATAGAGGATCCGGTGACATGACATGTTACTCAAATCCGATTATCCCAACACCCATATTTAGTAAAAATAAGAAGTAGAACGTGTATTCTACAAGCATTCAGAAACTACGAGGTCTGAATCCAGAAGAGAAATAGGATCCTGGTTGTGGTCACAAAATGTTACAAATAATGCGTATTTATACATTTTGGTCGAATAGGAAACAGCATCGAAGTCTATGACATTGACCCCGACCGAAGCTGCTACCTTGACGTGGTGGTCGGGCTTGCCTATCGTGATGATCCAACCGAGCTATACTGGCTGGAACATATGTTCCTGCAGGTCCTACCATGCCAGGCAGGTCGATTGCAGAACGATGAGACTAAAAGCAGTTACTCAAGGTCTGAGGGCGAAGTCGTACTGCTGACTGACTGCAGAGAGGTGTGACAGCAGTAAGGTGTTTCCCTCGGACAACCAGCATCTGCAGTGCTGCTGCCTTCTCACAAGGAAGGAAGGGTTAGAAAAGGTCGACCCTGAAAATGTCACACCTCCCCTAACTCACGGATTTCCGTCTCCTTGGGTAAGGGTGCCCACTAAGGGCCTTTAAGAACGGAGCTAATCCTCTAAATACCTATCATAAAAAGGCCATGCGTGACCGGCCTCAAGCAGTTGTCCCTTGGGCTCTGCGGTCACGCACCAACACTAATCCATCTTCCTTTTCAGGTCCCTCAAGAAACAACCTTCCACGGTGTGGGCAGCCGGGAAGTGACAACCGCCCTCATACCCGTAACAGCACGCGAGACCAAATCGGTCAAAATCAAAAAATGATATTGACAGTTAAGACGACCAATAGGAAGTAACATTTGAAATGACATTGACAGTCAGGTTGACCAATAAGAGACAACATTGAAGTATTTGACTTTGACAGTTAAAACGACCATAATTTTGACCAATAGGATTTGATGAATATCCTAACAGAGCCCCTGTACACATGACTCAAAACTAGGACTTTTAGGTGGTACACATGAACGCTTAACCTCTAGACCAATGAGCTGGTGGCATCAAACGGTGTTAATATCTAATAAATTTGATCAATCCCAAAGTATTGCGTAACCTTAGTACTAATTGTCTTCGATAGGTGAATGCCTATATCCGATAATTTTGAACTTCAATGGTCATAACTGCTCATTAAAATTACGAGTATTTCTTCATGAAGCAAAATTAACAATCTTCAAAAAATGTATAATAAAAAAAATCAGTATTCTGTTTTGTTAAAAATAAATTTTAATGATTTATGAAAAATAAACGATGATTCGTTGATTAAAACACAGTTGACTTTTATACAGAATGACTTTGCATTGTGATACTTATAACCAATAAGTTTTATTAAAAACCCTCACATACACAACAAATATCTTTAGTCAGTTGATTAAAACGTAGAACTTCGTATGTACGTATATCAGTTCACATTGTCATACTGTGGTGTGAGCTACTTATAAGTAGTATATGACGTGAGTGTCAACGTAATGTCTGGCAGCAGAAGATGAGGAGGAAGATCAAGAAAGGGAGAGTTAGAAGAACACAATGGAATTTGTATGAAACGCATGAATAGTGACAATGGATTGTTGATGTTTTGCAACAGGAACAGTCCAGTTCGATATGATGAACTGATATTTTGCAAATTAACGATTTACGATATGGTTTTGCGATTTTACTGAGTAACTTTGTCATTTTCGTTAAATACAATTCGGTTGCCCCACCTGTGTTCTCGTTCACTACAATACTACTACATTAGTACATAGAGATGCAATTGTCAATTCAAATCCCATAGTAGTAGACGTAGAAGTACTATGAGCAGTAATCAGAAAGATTAGGGTTTGAAGATGTTAATCAAGGAGTAGAATCTAATGAAATAAATTTAAGAACAGAAAGATGAACGTTATGAAGAATTCAGATTGGAATTTAAGAGAACACAAAGAATGGATGCATGTGTTTCATTGCAAACAGGGAATGTGAATCAGATACAGAAGTGGTTAAGAATGGGAACTGTTATGAAAAACAAAAACTATTTACTTTTCAACTAAAGCAAGGACAACGAATTCGTTGAGAATTCGAAAACACTGTGGAGGCTTCTTCGACACTACGGTGTGCCTGAGAAAATAGTTAACATCATAGGGAATTCCTATGATGCATTCAACTGCAAAATCGTACACGAAGGACAGCTGACAGACTCTTTCGAGGTGAAGACCGGTGTCAGGCAAGGTTGCATACTCTCACCCTTTCTCTTTCTCCTGGTCATCGAGTGGATTATGAAGACGTCGAAATCTGGAGGGAAGCACGGTATCAAATGGACAGCCAGGATGCAGATGGATGGTCTGGACTTTGCAGATGACCTGGCTCTTCTATCGCACATGCAACAACAAATGCAGGAGAAGACGACCAGTGTAGCAGCAGCCTCTGCAGCAGTAGGTCTCAACATACATAAAGGAAAAAGCGAAATTCTCCGATGCAATACAACGTACACCAACCAAATCACTCTTGATGGAGATGCCTTGAAGGACGTTGACACCTTTACACATCTGCGGCGTCCAATTCAAATATCCCAATACGACCTAAAATGCTATTTCCCAATCTCCTAGATATCAGAACGCAACACCGTTGGATGGAGTTGTTTATTGGGTCAAATACAGAAGAAGAGGTAGGCAGGAGAAACGGAATTATTCAGTCTTTCAGATACAGCGTATTCATACATTAAGGTCGAATAAGAAAGAGCATCAACGTCTGTGACATTGACAGTTTAGGACGACCAATAGAAAAGAATATTTGAATGACATTGACAGTCCAGATGACCAATAAGAGGCAGCATTGAAGTATTTGACCTTGACAGTTAGAACGATCATAATTTCGACCAATAGGATTGTACTCCTAAAAATAGTATTCTTAGGATATTTGGTGAATATCCTAACAGTTTGCAATAATGCAATTAATTGCTAATTGCTTCTTTTGCGCTGGAAAGCGTTGACGCTTCAAAATCGCCAATATTCAGTGAAAGATTCATACTTCGCGTATTTGGAAGCCCTACTGCTACTTCCCGTCACCTCGCTGGTGTAGGTATAGCATTAAGTTTTAAAGCAGAACTAGATCTCAAACTGGGTCCCAGTAGGCAGTCGTTTATGCGCTGTTCAACTAAAATGGACAGACAGTAAGGAGTTAGAAAGATCAGGGACACTCGCCATTGCCTCTTTGTCGTCTCTACCTGCGCGCACTCAGTGACTGCAGCCCACATGAGACAAAACATATATATATATATATATATATATATATATAAACTACTTATCTTTTAAGTATAATGGAAAACAAGTTTGAATCTGAACCGGATAACTCAATTCTCCGAGTTCTAGTGGGAAGTGGTAACCAGTGAAGTTCAATCTGTTCGGGTCTAGAGACAGTAACTACACAAGATAGGGTGTGTGAGGTTGCGCTACTCCATTTTGACTGATTGAAGTTAGATATTAACACCGTCGAAAACCGGCACGGTGATCCAGAGGTTATGCGTTCGCGCGCAAGGTCAAAGGCCCTGAGTTCGAATCCTGCAAGGTGAAGGATTCATGGATGCGTACTGCTGATGAGTCAGTCCCATACCAGGACAAAATGGCCATCTAGTGCTCCTAAGTTTCTAATTGTTGTAGTGGCTTGCTTAGATATATTCTCCGGCTAAGTCCTATTTGCTTAATATTATCTGAACACAATACACTGGACAAGTTCCCAAGAATCAAAACACGGTTGAACAGGAAAAGATTATATTACAAATAGCAAGGTTAAATGGAATAAGAAGCCAAGGGTGATGGCGAAGGTAAAGAAGGCAAAAATATATACAACGTTAGTCTATTTATAGCATTTACATGAGAAGCTTCTGGATAGCAATTCACGTGATCGACTGGATTAGATTTAACCAATCAGCACGCAGCTAACAGCACGAGAATCTTCTACCCTGTTCTCCAAGATTCGATCAGGCGCTGATTGGATAGGAAATTAGCCAATCAGCGCGCAGCAACGTAGTCATGTTTTAATTCCATCTATGTCCCACTAGCACTAATGGTGATCTAACATTGATCGATTCATGATTTCAATTATGTAACATAATACAAATGTCAAAATAGAATACAGTCACTGTTACGGAATTATTATTCATCATTGCCATCTAGTTATATATGTCTGATTTGAAAAAATTCAAAGGATGGGAAGAGAATGTTCGGTTAGGATTAATACTGAGTTGATCGGTAAGAGAGACAGGGAGAGAGAGAGGATCAAACTAAAGGTGTTGAAAATCTCTCATTTCAAAACACTAGTGGTTCATCATCTAGGTTCTACCATCTTGACAGAATTAATAGTTTGCGTACATCTATTATTTGGCGCCAGCTACCAGCTACAAATTGGCAGTTAGTCAGTCAGTCAGATGTAACGTAGAACTTCGTACGTAAGTACATCAGTTCATGTTGCCATACCACATCAGCACAGAGATATAATTGTCAATTCAAATCCAATAGTAGAAGAGGTAGCAAAGGTATTAGAAGTAATCGGAGAGGTTAGGATTAGAAGATATTATTCAAGAAATATGATTCAGTGAGATAAGTTTCGAAAGTCAAAACTAGAGGTGTTGAAGAATCCAGAAGATTAGGATTTGAGAAAACACAAAGAATGAATGCACCGGCGCCATTGCAAACGGTTTTGAGCCATGTCGTTCAAGGTCTCTAACGATTGGTGACTTTCGTCTCGTGGATCCCAACCAGATAGCCTACATCTACCAACATAACTCAGTCCACTTGTCAGTGACTTCATGGATTTCTGCCGTGTTTTGGTTTGGCCGCCCCTAACTTTCTTCCAACCTATTCCTACACTACAAAACAAAGCTCATTGAGGCAGTCGGTGGTCAGCCTTACGTAACACATAACCCAACAACTACCTCAACTAATGAAGTTTCATTATTTCATCTATTGATCTGCCATTCTCTTACCTAACACCCATTTCCTAATAACACCATTGCTTACTCAATTGTCCCATGATATACGAGCGCAATGCTTCAAAGACACCTATAATTGAAAACCAGTAAACTTTACAGAATAATAATAATAATAAAACCAAAACTACAACTTACTTCTTTAATACCATGTTTAGCAAAATTCACACTAATCATATCGGATGCATCAAGAATTAAAGCAATTCGAAATGATTGATGATGATATTGATCATTAGTTATTGTTGTCGGTGTCGTCGTTGCATTCAAATCATTGACAGATGATAAATTATCCATGGTAGAATTGCTATTATTCAATAAATGATCATGATGACTATTTTGTTGGTGGTTGTGTTGAAATGTTCTTGCTACATTCAATGGTATCATGCCTAATTGACTTAATTTAGCTAGAATCCATGTTATACTTGTAGCAGACCATATAGCTATATCATAATATTGATAAGCACGTGTTAAAAATTCCATTAAATATGGACGAGCTAATTGATGCACTGATTCAGCTGGTGTTAAATGATCTATTGTTTTTTTTTATGATAAGAAATAAAATGTAATTTATGATTTTTGTCGGAAAAGTTAACTACATTAATAGACAAAGTAAACTGTACCTAGATTAGTAATGATGATGATGATGATGTAAGTTTTATGATTGAAAAATTTTACAATATTATGAATTGATAGAAATTAAACATTGGTATCATTGGAGAACGATGAGACTAAAAGCGGCTACTCAAGGTCTGAGGGGACGAAGTCGTACTGCTGACTGTGATGGAGGAGTGTGATAGCAGTAAGGTGTTTCCCTCGGACAACCAGCATCTGCAGTGATGCTGCCTTCTCACAAGGAAAGAAGGGTTAGAAAAGCTCGACCCTAAAAATGTCACACCTCACCTTACCTCATAGATTACCGTCTCCGGCGTTAAGGGTGCCCACTAAGGGCTTTTAAGAGCGGAGCTAATACTCAAAAATCCTTTCATAAAAAAGCCGTGCGTTACCGGCCTTAAGCAGTTGTCCCTTGGGCTCTAAGGTCACGCTCCCAAGTCTCTAAGACCAACACTAATCTATCTTCCTTTTCAGGTTCCTCAAGAAACAACCTTCCACGGTGTGGGCAGCCGGGAAGTGATAACTGCCCTCATACATGTAATAGCACACGAAACCAAATTGGTCGAAATAAAATCCTTCCTACAACCCCTATTATCTCTCTTATCTCCACGACTAACTCCTCTCACATTCCTTTATCTCACCGCACAGCTAATGCAAACGATGCGAGTTCATGAAACGTCATTTCTGGTCTCCTGAAACCTCGTTCTAGACTATATGTTGGAGCATTTAATGTCCGGACATTGTGTCAAATAGGGCAACAGGTTTCTTTAGCTAAGACATTGGAATCGCTCACCATCGATGTATTCTTCGTCTCGGAAACGCGCATACAGGATCCTAGTAAAGTTATTAATTTGATTTCACCTTGTCAAAATAAAGAAGCAACTCGATTTAAACTTTGTGTATCCGGTAGCCATAATGCTGCCTCCCGGGGTCTCGCTGGCGTAGGTATAGAATTGAGTCGTAGGGCTGAACTATCTCTCCTAGACCGGATCCCTGTACAAAGTCGTCTGTGCGTAGTCCGATTGAATGGGACAGTAAGGACTGGGAAAGATAGGGACATTCGCAGTCGCCTCTTCGTCATATCAGTGCACGCTCCCACTGACTGCAGTTCAGACGATGTAAAAGATGAGTTTTACAGAAAGCTTTCGGACCTCATCCAAAAATCTAGGCGCTCTGATATAGTAATAAAGGCTGGTGACTTTAATGCTCAAGTAGGTAGACTAAGTGAAAATGAGAGACACCTGGGTGGATGTTATGTTGTTGCAGCTCAGAGCAGACGATGGCGATCGTCTGTTGCAACTATCCTCAGATAACCGCCTATTCCTAGCAAACACTAATTTTAAGCATAAGGAAAAACATTCCCCCAAGGTCGTCTTAACGTTGGACGCAACTAGATTACATTGCCATCATCCACCCAAGGAGAGGTTTGATAGAGGACTGTCGCTCGTTCTGGAGAACATGCTCTAGTGCGAGCGCGTATTTGTTTGCGCCTTACTGGACGCCACAGAAATATCGAAAGAAAACCTCTTAGGTCATTACTTAATGATAATCAAGCTAAGAAAATATTTCAGGAGCAACTAGAAAAACAGTTAGCTCTATTTGAGTGTCTTAGTATTACAGAGGCTAACAATTTAGAAACTGTATTAGTTAAACTGATTCCTCTGTAATTGTTACAAGAGGATGTTTGTCCTTTCTTATAAATTGGGACAACAAGGGATTGAGACCAGTCAGATGGGATTATGCCAAGTTCGCAAATTCTACCCTAAGATCTTAGTCAGTCTAACTGCTAAGACTGGATCACCACACTAAAAATCGCAGGGATCAATCTATCAGGCTCAGCTTCTCTTTCTAGCTTCAGATTTGCTATAGCTTCCTCAACTTCATCAATAGTTCGAGGACTTACATCGATTTGCCTTTCAGGTTGACTAGAGATCGTGGGCAAACGAAGTGTGGCTGAATGCAAATTAAACTGATCCCTGAAGTGCTCCTCCCACCGATCCAATCAGCAGGATTGAGAATAAATAATGAGACATCGATTTGCCTTTCAGGTTGACTGGAGATCGTGGGCAAACGAAGTGTGGCTGAATACAAATTGAACTGATCCCTGAAGTACTCTTCCCACCGATTCAATCAGCAGGATTGAGAATAAATAATGAGACCATCCTGCAGGACAGGTTGTTGTTCACTTCTTCAGAAAACTCCAAAGCTACATTTAGTTAGCCAATTTTATTCTCATAAATATATGACTTTCTAAACATACACTGTATGTCAGGACAAAACTACAGAAAGACCTAGTCACTGATTGAATGGATGTACTCGTATTCTTTGAAAATGTAATGATGCATCTAAATACCCAACGTTCGTGAAGCCATACATGGAATATGCAACTTAAGCAGCGAATTTTTGCTTCGAGTATAGAGCGTCTCACAGAATTATCCTGCGGAGAAATATTGAATGAATTATTATGGCTAGTTTGGCAATTAAGAAATTAAAACAGAACATAAAGTATTCTGTAGTAAACTGTACGTGAGACCATTCAATCATTTTAAAGGACTCTCAAGGTTTAAATCTCGTTACAAATGAGCAATGAACTGTTGAAAATATTCAATCGTATTAACAGGATGTGCAAATCTAAACTCATCATACATGTTACACTAAGGTTAAGAGTCCTATTAAAAATATTAAACCGTATTTGTATATATCGCAGTAATCTTGTAAATGACTTTGTAATTATAGAGGACAAAAGTAGGATCAAATGTAAGGATCTTTATGGTTATTTAGTTATGCAATCAGTCTGATTTGTAGAAAACTCGCTTTATTCTTCAACTCAAACTCCGTGTAATATATATATATATATATATATATATATATATATATATATACAGTAGAATAGACGCACAATTTTGTCTGAATACTGGTTTCTATGAATAAAAGCTTACCGAAGATCGTGTAATCTATATCCAAAACAAGTAATTTTTTACCATGTCTGAATTCACACAATTTTCGTGGACGGTAGGCTTTGCAACGTCTTTTAACTTTCTCTATGTTCTCTGGACTACAAATTAATTTTAAATATACCAAAGTTACACGTTGCATAGCTGAATGTCTTCTTCTTTGAAATCGAAATCATCAACAACATCAGGACTATCTTCGGTACTATTAACTTTAAGCTAACGGAAGTTATGTACTCAGGTGAAACTTACGATTTCCTCTTGGGTGGATCCTATAAGCATTAACTTGGTCCCGGGTTTTAATAAAATGCATGAGAATGTTGTTGAATCGACAACAGGATCGTCTATGAAGTTAAAGAACATTAAAAATTAGCACAAACAAACTGCTTGCTGTCCGGAGACCTAGAATTTTTTGGTTCTTCGGCAATACTCTAGTTACTTTGAACAGTTCTTCTTTAAGATCGGATACGCTGTGATTACAAGTTAAGGAGTCAACCACAATCGGCTGACCGTTGTACTTCAATTGTAAGCTTATTCTACTGGTCGTCTCTGTCATTCGTACAGTTGGCCGGACTTCAAGGTCACTATCTTCTTCACGCGCTGGAATGATATCTCCAATATCGAATATATATTTTTAGCGATCTAGTATATACCAATTGATTTCTTTGTGCTTAGTTTTTGTTCTTTCGATACGGTCCCAGGTGCTTGTTATTATTCAATGAATAGGGGTGCAGCCACTTTTTCGCACTAATTTTAATCCAGCATCCAATATCCAATAATCCAATATCTGTTTCACGATCTTGTATAAACCAGATGATTTATTTGCGCCCAATTCTTGTTCTTTCGGTACAGTTCTACGTGTTTGTCAGTTGTTTCTGAGTTCTCATGTACTGTGATTTGAATGAATACGTTTGATTCAGTGTAGTAGGTTTATTAATCCTTATATGAGTACGATTTTATTAAGTCTCTACTTAAAGCATTGAACTGAGAGGGCTGTGGTCACATTTGCTAGGAGAGTATTCGAAGTTGTAACAACTTCTAATGAGCTAACATATGAGCGAACCCGGATGTTCGCTCTTTGATCCGCAATTCGAGCATTACCTAGGGATGCACGGTGGTGATGCATCGGTAAGGTGCACACGTCGGGTTCGTTTGGCGTGCCTAATATGTTGTATGCCATGATGAAAACACCTCTGGTTTCCTGTAACTCAAGGAGAATAATCACCAAGTGGAAAGTCCTATCTTCGTAAGTTTTATTTTTCGACCCAATGCTCGTCTCTGCACTCGATACAAGAGATTTACGTCTCTTTCGAGGAGAGGGATGGGACGACGTTGTAAACTGCAAGGTGTGAGTGAGCATATGTCTTAAGCAATGTTAAGAACAAATCTTGGGTGACAGCACCCAGATGTCTTTGAATAAAAGGAAGAGTTGTATTAGCCTTGGCTGCATCCATTCAGTAGTTCGAATTAATGTCTATCATTTCGTCGGTTATTAAATTGAGATCTTTCTCAGGGGCATTAGGAACCGTAATTTCAGTGATGATGTAAGTTGTTTGTGTCACGTTCTTCAGTGTGTATAGAACGAGACGTTTCCACCGTTCGAGTCACAAACGGATTTTTACTCTTCATTCCTCAGTCGCTGTAAAATCTTTTTGAAACTCAAATGAATCGCTTTAGTTCGTTCTGCAGTTATCAGTGTTTATGAGTTGGTGGACAGCTTCATGATTCATAATTGAGCAATACGTTACTGCTGACAGATCTCATACTATCTTGTATAAAAACATTGGGTTGTTATTCAATCGGTGGTGCGATAAAAGTTCTGAGAAAACATATTTGTACTCAGCTGTGTAGTTGATAGTGTGGTTGCATTCTAGCAGTCTACTAATCGAGCTATATTGATTATCGTCCACTCCTATCATGTTAATGATGTTGGTGTTTTAAATAAACAACAGGCAGTATTCGTGTGAGGGTTTTATTCACATTATCGTTTTTTGTTACAAAGTCCTTATTGATGAACCTCACCAGCCATGTATATTCACAGATCGTGAAACAGATTTCTGTCGAGTAGACGTCGTATAATCGCTCCTTTACTACTTTCTCAATCAGTCAAGATACTACCGATGCTATGTTAATGCGTTTGCGATTTCAGAAATATGCTGTGATTTATGGTATGATAAATAATCCAAGAAGTACAACACAAAGATTGTCACTTACAATTTTAGCATGCTAGCTAGGGTTTATCAGTGAAGAAGAGTTTAAGAGTACTCATAGTCTTGGAAATATTCTGCAAACTGGTGTCGATATAACTAATTTCATAGAAAGGCATTTGGGTCGACTGTGATGCATGTAGTGGGTTTTCGATCGTTAAATATGCGCAAGGTTTTCGCTAGATAGCTGTATAAAACATTCAGTGTTTTTGTAAAAGTGATTAGGTTCAGCAAATTAACCACCTCATTTCATTTGAGGGCATTACACTGTATTTCAAAGGATTTTGTTAAGTGCATAGGATATATCGATTGACAGACTTGATTAGGCCTAAACGAAGTTCACTGCGCCAATGGTTCTTGTCTAAAATATGGTTTATCTTTTCATGATATTTTCATGGTTCGATATTGCTCTGAATATCCTCCAAGAAAAGGTTTTCTTGCATTTTTTCAACGATCCTCGTGAATATGTTTCATTACGAAAACGAATGGTGATTTCACTTTCGGAAGAAATAGTTGAAAGCTGGAACGTGCATGTTTCTTTCACTGTCAGGCATAAAGTTTCATCCAAATGTATGGTGTACTTCGAAAGCTGGCCTCAAGGGTACCTTCAAATAGAGCAAATCAACTTCCGAATATTTTCACATAATATTCTGAACTTAACAATCTTAACAGTCTGTGTCAGTTCTGAAAAGTACATTCACAATTGTGAGGTACGCTTCCTGAGGTTCTTTTAATTTAAATACACGCAATTCGTTACCGGTGATATGTCTGTGAACATGTTAGGGATGCTTTCGTGCCGTGTGCATAGATTTTACAGCTTCATTTTTGTGACTACCAAGGCGCTGTAGCAGATATCGCTTGAGAGGCAGTAAATCTGTACTATTTCAAAGACATAATGAATTTCAATGAACATTTGCTTGTTGAATCTCATATCTTCATCAAATGTAACCTTCAGAAAATTTGCTGTTTTCTCACTTGAAAAATGCACAACGACAAATCATGATGTGCAAATATTTTTCAAAGGATTCTAAATTCCAGAATCCTCGATACAAAATTTCAGCAGCCTAATTCATTTTCCGTTGTTGAAATCGTGCTAGAGGTTTGATCAATTCTGGTTAGTGCATGTGCTTCCTGTGCAAGTTGCCTTGATATAGTCAGGACGTTACAAGTAAAGATGGAATAGATGAGATGTAGCTAGTAGTGAAACCCAAATGTCCTTCAAGTGCTTTACGAAACTCGTCATTTAGAGATGCCTGCATCTCAGAGTTATAATTCACTACATAATTAGAATTCAGTACCTTCTGTCCAAACTATGTCCACACCTGATCCGATTTTTGTTGAAGTTTCACCAGCGAGATAATGGAAACAGTCAGATATCAAGAAAAAAGCATACTTGTTCAAAAACTGTGAAACTAGTTCAATAATGAGACTTTTGAGGTGATTGATATTGGATTTAGGGTGTTTAGTGAATGTCAGATCCGGCATGGAGTTACATCAAACTGACGGGCCCCAGATAAACCAACATTCTCACCTTAGGATCAGCTACTAGTCACATTCCATCTACTCTAAAAATAGTGATAATAATAACCTTCCCGTTTGTCAACACTTCTACTTTGATTTTGTTATCTTCATCTGGTCCTGCTGCATTGATTTACCAAGTAGGGCTAACACACTTTTATGCCACTCTCGGCATTGTTTGAACTGATTGACTGACTATCAACGTAGTATCAAACAATGCAAGCAAGTGTTTAGATGCCGCAAATGTCCACGTAAACAGCACTGAAGTGGTTGCATGACACATTGCATATGCTTATAGATTTTTTTGTTCGTGAGGCCTATTTGAAAGTGAGTTTCCTAGTAATGAGAATGTCAATCGGCAGATAATTTTCAATTTGTTGGCATTTAGTTAACGACCGCTTACTGAACTGGAAACCGTGGCTGAAACGATTTTGACATGATACTTATAGTTGGTGGAAATTCTCACTATTAGATGACACTAAAGGGTTGGACAGATAGGCGATTTGACAAATGATCCGGTGTACCATTCATCACTTACATCGTCTAACTGTTGTCATCCTATCAAATAATCAATCTCCATGATTAGTGTATAGCAAATCGTACAATATACTACTTCGCAGGATAATAAATGGTAATCCCGATAGGCTAAGAATCAAATAAAAATGTGATTCTAGAGGAAGAAATATATATAATGCTAGCCTCGTGATATCGAAATAATATCAAGTGTATAATTCAGAGTTGATTCTGATTTCGGAAAAGCAGTTGTAGAAGTTAAGATACGCGCCTTGCCCAGTTAATCCATAAAGAAAACGATTTTTCTGGGTAAGAAACGGATCTATTATTAATCAAAAATGAAATTGCAGATAATTACCTAAACAATATTACACTGTTTTCCGTCAAAATTAACACAATGTGTACGCGTTTCTAACTCCGCCTGTAGTCCCTTCGAGGCTACTGCCGCTCCTAAGCCCGGATAAAGGAAGAGGGGTTGGATATAAGGTTGGCGACCCCATCCCAAATAAAACTAACTTGCCGAAGAAACGCTAACCAGAAAAAATAATTCAAACCATTTTCACTCTGCCCTGGGAGTTGGAAGAAGAATTATGACGTCTCTTTATGAAAGCCGAGTTCCCTCGGAAGTCACGGGACCGATGCTTCTTCTGACAACCAGAGCAACCATTCTTTCAGGTAAAAGGAACGTTCGTACATTGCAGGAGACTGGAAGAATATTTCAAGCTGCAACAGAAATGGAAAGATATAACTTCGAGGTGCTCGGCTTCAGTGAAACGCATTAGACACAGGAAGGACAACTGAGACTGGCTTCAGGAGAACTGCTGTTATAATTCTGGTCATGAAGAGTAAAAAGCTTCACATACACAAGGAGTTGCACTGATGCTGTCCAAACAAACACAAAAGGACTCTGATAGTATGGGAATCTCATGGAACCAGGATCGTTAAAGCCTCCTTCAAAACAAAGAAACAGGACATAACAATGAACGTCATCCAATGCTATTCACCTACCAATGACTACAATGACGACGTTAAAGATTAATTTTATGAAAAGCTGCTATCAATCCTCGACAGATGCTCACCAAAGGATTCGACCATTCTGATAGAAGACTTAAATGCCAGGGTTGGAACGGACAACACTGGATATGATGACATCATGGGACGACATTGACTGGGAGAATTGAACAAAAACGGTGAGAGATTTGCAAACCTATGTGCCTTCAAAAAACTGATCATCGGTGGCACAATATTCTCACACAATGCATACACAAAGCCACATGGTTTTCACCGGACCACAATACTGAGAACCGAAAAGATCATGTCTATATCAATATAGTTCGGAAGGACTATGGAGGACGTG